TATATTTTCGTACTTTTTTCCTAAATGAGAACATCTTTTGGTGAAAGCAGGGCTATGTGAACTTCAATGAAAACGTCAGCTCTATTCATATCATTGCACATTATAGCCGATTCGACTAGATAGACGGGGACAGTCTGCTCAGGGTACATGGATTAGAGTAATGAGCTGAGTCGTGAAGGCAATTCTTGAAATCTGTATGTATGTGAATCAGAGTATATGAAAAGAAAAGTTCATTTCCAAAGAATCGCTTACTTTCGTTTCGAGGGAAAGTGTTTGATAAAGAGATTCAAAGGAATCCGACCTCGTCTTTGGTAGGATATACTTTCGAATATCTTCATCAAATACTTTCACTCTAAATGGAAGTAGGCTCAACAATTATGGGAATCAGTGACTAGACGTTCTGTTCTATGAAGCGACAGTCTACCTACTACTGAAGGCTTGAGAAATAGGGCTTAGAGTTTAACGAATACTTGGACTGAAACTGAGTGAGATCAGATAACGAGAAAGATAAGAAACGGATCTACGGGCCCATGAGGCAGATCCGGATAGGAGGCTCTAGTCGGATCGAAAGAGAAGATGGCAAGGCGAAAAGCAGATGTGATGGCGCCACACTTAACTTGCCAAAAAGTGCATACAGTTTGCTGGGTGTATGTAAACAAGTTAGAGGTTGTGATGAGACTTGAGTGTGATTTCCACAGAGTGGATATAGTAACCAGGGCTAGACAGATAACTTTCGGTAGAAAGTTTGTCAAGGGATTGACTTCAGTTGTCTCTGACGAGTTGTAACTTGTTGTGGAGAATGGCAAGACTCACTTCTGGGGACTGTACCAAGTCCACAGTATGAGGCTGAGCATAATGATAACTACTATGGCAGAGGACTTTGGACAATGTGCATCCAACTAAATCATACTGACAACACGACAAAGTTGCGAAGACAAAGTCAGACCACTACTATGCATGGAAAGAAGACTATGACCAAACTAGAGGCCACAACATCTTGGTCTTCATGTATACGTTGAAATACTTTACTTTGATCATGTCGTCTCAATCAGATGTCATCTTCCAAGCGGCTTAGAGAACGATCTTTAAGCACTTAAGGTATTCCAATTGACAGAGCTAGCTTGTGATTGGCTCTACCTCGTTTTAGATTTTAGTCCAAAATGCATGTTCGTAAACTCCTCCCTTTGAACAAATCTTTTCCACATTCCTTTCCCTCCTCCCGCCTCTATCTCACACTTTCGGACCTCTGTCTCTAGTCTCACTAACTCCCAGTTAAATGCTCATTGGCAAAGCAACGTAGCTGAAGCATAAGTCACCTTTGTTCCTCTCTCCTCAAGCCCGGTAAAGTGAATATTTGGGCTAGATTTTGACCAGACATCTGCCATGCCTCAGTCAAAGAAGCCTGTTCTGTCAAACGGCAACTGGTCTCTGCCCCTTTTTTCCCATCTTGGCCACATGCAAACTAGCTTTCTCGTCTGCTCGCAGGCCCCTTTGGAGAATTCACTTCGGCTCGGAGACTCCAGACTCGACTTTGTCGTTTCTGCGCCAATAAATTATCACATTGCCCTGCCCATCTGGACGCAAAAACTGGCCACCCCTACACTGTCTCTTCTTCATCATACAGACGAAACTTGACCGGGCCGCAAGGACATTGCATACACAAAGGTGACCTTATCCTCCTTGATTAGGCCGGTGTGTCAAAAGGACATTGAATGTTGAATATTCTCGCTCCCGCCTGAGATGGTTCTCTATACATTCGCGTCTATAAATAAACATGTTTACGCAGAGGTGTATATAAACCTGGCCACGGGAGCAACAGAAGGACAGGTAAAAAGCAACCCTGGCAAGACAGTGAGCTTAGAGAGGTTTCGCTAGCTCCAACCTCCTTTCGGCTGTTGACGCGGATGATTTACAACTCCTCTTCAGGCCCTCTTTGAGTCGCATTAAACTGTTGACAATTAGTCAAAAACAGCCCTTTCTACACGACGGGGTAGGGTTCGAAACCGTAACCTGTTGTGTCGCTCGTGAGCAGGAAAGACTGTTTTGTCGTTTGATTAGCAGAGGTCATTAATTGAGGAAGAAATGGGTTTCGAAGTATGCCCTAATGAGTTATTGTGACATGACTTTCAATGTTGACGCAACAATTGGTTGGAAAGAATTCGTGAAATGGTATTACCAGAAACCGAAGAAGGATTGCAGAGAAGTTAAGACTGTTGGATTGTGTGAAAAACTCTCCGTCTCACTGTGCTGTGAAGCCGATGAATCAGTGAAAAGCTTTCGTATGTTTTGCTACAGACATCATCAGAGTAAGAATCTATACTTCACGATAAATCGCAAGAATATACTAAGCCAGGAGAAAAGCTGGCCATGAAGGTATCTGTCATAGTACAGACGAAAGTTTAGTACAGGTTCATCGGGGTCACAGGACGGTTGGGGGAGAGCTTTTTCGCCCAATCCTCCTTCGGTTTTCGGTAAGACCATTTTACGAATTACTTTCAACCAACTTTTCCCTTGAAATGGAAAACTATGTCACAAACGGTCAGTATTGTCCTACACTTCAATAAACTGGGATCAAAACAATACATTTATTCAGACTTAGGGCCGAGACTACGCAATACAAGCCATAATTTTACTTGGACCTTCAAACCTTGATAACCCTGGACTGATGTAAAACTCTGTTGAAATTGCTTCGTGTTATGATTTGTGGTTTCGTACCCTGACTTATGCATATGCAGACGAAAACACATGTACATACATACATAAAAATGCTTAGATTTATATGAAAAGTACCAAACAAATAAATATCCATTTATTTTTATATTCTTTTAGTTGTGGGTATAGATAGTAGTCAAGGTAAAGTTAATTAGTTTTCTTGATCTTGAGCTAATGTGAGGCTTTCCTGAGAAGTATATCAGGATCAGGAAGTCAGATTAGTCAGGCGAGCTTAGCCTAAGATGATGAAGAGATGATAGCAAATTTCCAAATAATGCGATGAATAGGCCTCACAATGTCTCGCCTCTTACACGGTATTCTCATCCAGGCTGGACTTCATCACCACCACCAACGTTAATCGAATCCGGGTTGTTAATCATATAGACTTGACATGCTATAATTACAGAGCAGAAGTTAATTTCAAGGCAAGTTGGGCCTCCTCAATATTGTGGGATTGTCCTTGCAGAAAACATTTATTTACCATTACTTCATCATCTTCACTGGACTAATCTGACTATGGCTCTTATTCAAGATATGTCAATGTCTTTAAATGTATCAATGCATGTATGTAAGTAAGTAAATAATTACGTAAGCAAGTAAGTGAATATGTAAGTGATTAAATAAGCATTTATTAAC